TAAGTCTCATTTATTTTTTAATTGTTGTTGTATTTGCATTGGGGTCTGAATCATAAATTTTTGTCTAGAGCAATGTCCAGAAGAGTTTTCCCTATGTTTTCTTCTAGAATTTTTATGGCTTTAGTTCTCACATTTAAGACTTTAATCCATCTTGAGTTAATTTTTGTATGTGTATATACCCAATGTTAATAGTGATATGTGAGATACTGTTTTAGTCATCATATTGGTCGTTATCTTGTCTCTTTGTTTTCTACCTTGTGTTACTGTTTTATAAGACATACAAGTTTTTTTTCTTTTGGGTGTTTTTACACTGGTGGGTATTGATTGTTTTTTTCCAGGTATAGAGTACTTTTAACCATTTCTTGTAGGGCAGGTCTAGTGATAACAAATTCCCTTAGTGTTTACTTGTCTGGGAAAGACTTTATTTCTCCTTCATTTATGAAACTTAGTTTTGCAGGATGCAGAATTCTTGGATGGCAGTTATTCTGTTTAATACTAAAAATGGGACCTCAATCCATGCTGGCTTGTAATGTTTCTGCTGAGAATTCTGCTGTTTGTCTGATGGGTTTTCCTTTGTAAGTTACTTGATGGTTTCATCTTCAAGCTTGTAGGATTTTTTCCTTCACTTTGCCTTTGGTCAAAGAGATGTTGTGTGCCTCAGTGATGTCCTATTGGCTATGAATCTTCCAGGTGTTCAATGACCTGTCTGGATATGTAAAGCTCTATCAATACCAGGAAAATTTTCCTCTATTATTCCCTCAAATAGGTTTTTCATGGTTTTTGCTTTTACTTCTCCTCCCCCAGGGACACCTATAATTCTTATATTTGTGTGTTTTATACAATCCCATATTTCTCAGATTTTGTTCATTCTTCCTGATTCTTTTTTTCTTCATTGTTGACTGAGTTAATTCAAAATCTATGGCTTCAAGGCCACATGTGGCCTTCCAGATCCCCGAGTGCAGCCCCTTGACCAAATCCAAACATCACAGAACAAATCCCGTTATTAAAAGAATTTGTTCTATAAAATCTGGATTCAGTCAAAAGGCCACACTTAAGGACCTAGAAGGCCACATGTGGCCCTAGAGATGCAGGTACCCCACCCCTAACACTTTCCACTGTATTTTGAAATTCCTTAAATTACTTTTCCATTTCCAGAAGTTCTGTTGTTTCTTTGATTATCTATCTTTTTAGTATAGTTTTTGTTTATGTCCTGAATAATTTTTTTTTTTTGGTTTCTTTATGTTGGTTTTCAATTTTTTGATTGATCTGATTGAGCTTACTTGTGATCTGTATTTTGAATTTCATACCTAACATTTCAAAAATTTCCTTTTGGTTGAAGTCCATTGCTGGAGAGCTAGTATGATCCTTTGTTGGTGTCTAAACAGCTTGCTTTTTCCATGTTGCCAGGGTTCTTATACTGGCTCCTTCTCATTTGGAACTTCTGTCAGCTCAAGACAGCTTTATAGTCCACCTATTCTCCTCTGCCAGGAACTCTGCTTTTCAGTGCAGAAAAGGAGAGGTACACTGCATTTTGGGTCATGTAGGTACCCACTGTGGTGTTGCTGGTTATTTAGGTTGGTTGGACCTCTGGGAGAGTGTGCAGGTGCCAGTGGTAGTGGACTAGATTAGGCATTCCCTGTTTCCAAGCCCCTGGATGTTGTGCTTGAGACCTAGGGAGATCAAGACTTATCTGGCAAACTTGCCCTTAAGCCTCTCTGGGTTCAGGTGCTGACTGTGATAATGAAGGTGGGGTGATCTCTTGCTCTGGAAGAATGCTCAGGGAGGAAAAGTGCAGTTGTAATATGGGTGTGGGACAGGAGGGATTGTCCCTTCTTGAGAAGATTAGCAGAGACAGTCAGATGTGGGGGGAAAATATGGAACACTTCACAAATCTGCATGTCATCATTGTGCAGAGAGCATACTGATCTTCCAATTTTAGTATATGTGCTGCCGAAATGAGCAAGACATTTAGTCTTATGCAGTAACTGCATTTGTGATATATGACAAAACTCCTTGATGGAGTTGCCACCATTAAAATTTTTATATATATACAAAAACTTCTAGGCTGACTGCAGTGGCTAAGATTACTCCTGTAATCTTAGCACTTGTGGGTGGCTGAAGCGGGACGATTGCTTGTGTTCAGGAGTTCAACACCAGCCTGAGCAAGAGTGAGACCCCATCTTTAAAAAGAAAAAAATTTAAAGTATTCCAAAAATATTGATTTGGGCATGAGCAATTAATGGTGTGAGATCTTAAAAGTGTCAAGAAATATCACAAACAGCATTTTCTGTAAAGGTGTGATATCTCCATACTAAACAACTCAACAGGAAAAATCTCAGCTTGAAACATTCAAATTAGATTATCCCTCTCTTGTTTCTTAAACTCTGCCATTCAACTTCATGATACCTTAAAATTTTTATCACAAACTCAATTGGAATTTTCACAATTTTTGCTTAAGTTAAACACCACATCTTTTCACTCTGACTTGATCAGATTTATTTCTCTCTCTCTACAGTGAGCTAGGGTTTCCTATCAGAACCAGTGTGGACATTTGACATTAGTTACATTTTTATATATACCGAATGGTTTTAAAACCAGGATATGAGAACATACATCTGAGTAGTGGAAAGGTAGGTGCCAAGGGATTTGTTTGAAAAGGATCACCAAAAGTGACAATGGGATGGTGGATGCTGTGTTGGATAAGGTCTGTCAGCACCTGGGAGAATAAATTCTTCCTTCCTGAAGGGGGATCTGGGTGGTGTTCCATCTCTGGCTTCCAGGATTACCTCAAAAGAAAGCCACATTTCTGGGGCCACACTCCCTTCCCAGGGAAGCAGGTGTCAAATGACTTATCAATGGCAGATTTTAATGGCCTGACTCTCACCACAACTGTGAACAGCTCAGGTAGCTGAGACATCTTCTAAGAATGCGCTGTAGCTCAAATTCTCCCTCTACCTTTGGTGTTTCCCCAAAAATAAACCCCAGCAGGATTTCTGAGCATTTGCGCAATATAAGCCCTACCCGGAAAATAAGACCTAGTGATGGGTGTGGCTACGCAGCATATCTGCACAACCCATGAATGTGCATTTCGTGGCGGAGCAGTAAAGATGGTGAGCAGGCCTTCTCACCTGCCCCATCATGACAGCTACTATCCCAGAGGTGACCGGAAAGGTGCGCGCAGCCCCACCGACAAGGTAGGCTCCCCCGTCAGGTCCCGGCCATCCTGTGTGCATGCTGCAAGCTGAGGCTCTGAGGGGAAAATAACACATCCCCTGAAAATAAGCCCTAGGGTGTCTTCTTGAGGAAACATAAATATAAGACACTTTCTTATTTTGGGGGAAACAGTAGTCTGCTTCTTTCTTTTTTCTATTACAGGGGTTGATTCCAAAAGCTCTCCCTAATAAACATCTGCCTGCTAGTCTCCTTCTCAGTCCATCTTCTGGGAAGCCCAATCTGCACGTGTGGCAGGCAAGCAATCTAAGCAATTGATTTGTATTATTGTATCTGTGAGGTAGATAAAACGATATTGTGCCCATTCTATGGAGGAGAAAACTGAAGCTCACAGAGGTTCAGTACTTGTTAACTGCTTGAATTGCTTGTCAAATGCCATCTAAATTGTGAGCAGCAGAGCCAGGATTTAAGCTCCAACCATCTGTCCCAGAAAGTATGAACTCTGAGTCACACTTTTGCTTAGGGGAATGTTGGGGCTAGTTTGATCTTCTACCCGACCATTAAATTTTCTGTACATCAGGAAAGATTCTTATGTTTTGCTTTCTTGTCATTCACATGTTCACTGAAGTAGCACCTTTACTTTCATTGAAGAACTTTTCTTTTGCTTTCACAACTTTGCTAACTATTTGGAGCGAGAGGCCTGGCTTTCAGCCCATCTCAGGTTTCAATATGTCTTCCTCACTAAGCTTAATCATTTCTAGCTTTTGAGAGTTGTACAACTCTTCTTTTAGGTGGGCATTGCAGGGTTACTAATTCTAATTGGTCTAATTTAGATACTGTTGAGTTTTAGGAAATAGGCCCTGAGAAAAGGAGACAGGTGAGAGAATGGCTGGTTGGTGGAGCAGTCAGGGTGCATATGACATTTATAGATTAGTTCACCACATTATATGGGTGCAGTAACATCAAAGATCATTGATTACAGATCACCACAACAATTATAATAATAATAATGAGAAGATTTGAAATAGTGCAAGTGTTACCAAATATGACACACAGATGTGAAGTGAATGCATATTTTTGGGAGAATGGCACCAACAGATTTGCTCCACATAGGGTTGCCACAAACCTTCAATGTATAAAAATGCAGTATCTTTGGAGCACAGAAAAGCAAAGACTACCCTTTTTGTGTGGGGACTTGTCAATCATTCAGGAGGGAGAGAAAAGAAAGATCTATCTTATTTCCCCTTAGATGATTGTTTTAAGTTCTAGCATGCCCATATCAATGTCACTCCACTCCTCCTCCCTCAAATTGTCTCCTAGAAAGGTAAAATTTTATTTTACTTTCTTTCTCTTCTGGGGATACTTGGGTCAGCAACATTTCTTCACAGTCACTGTCCACTGAATGGAGAATAATGCTCTTGCCAAAGATTAATTTCCAAGGATGGCTTTCAAATATTTCTGTCTTGGAGAAGGGCACTCTCGTACGTGGTCTTCAAATGCCACTGTTTCAAACTTTTTCCTGATAATTAGCTGTAAATAGCAGAACCAACAAATTCTGCTGTTTCCAATAAATACCTTCTCTAAACTTAATTTCTCTGATCATTCTTTCATTTCTTAAACAGTTGTTTTTTTTAGAGGAATAGATGCAAACATATCTATAAATTCTGAAAGGGCTAGATATGAAATAAAAGAGCATAGGCAAGACATTTCATGGTGTTGGAAATAGAGATGCTTAACATTGCTTGCTGCTTGTCTTTCCATTTAAGCAAAGCCCAAGTAGATTTCCTTTAAGAGTCTACAATTTTTAGATGTAGTAAGGAGCCTCATACCTTCATCTTTACAGGCTTCCACTGCCTCTTCTGAAGTGGGGCTGGGCATAGTGGCAGTGTTGACGCCATCTATAAAGCAAAAGAAGAAACACTGGCTCAGAGTTCATCCTGTCAAGCGGTGGCTTTCCTGTCCCTGCTCCTCCCTTCCTCTTCCACCAAAGAAAACGTGAGCCCATTTCATGCTGTACTATACCGAATGATCTCTGAAGGGGGCTAGTGGTTTGGGACTCTCCTTATAATTAGTGAAACAGACACCTTCAGTTAAGCCAGAGACCAATGTTGGTAGTAGTATACTTTGACATTTTGCTTCTTCCTCACCTCTTAAAGTATAGTGTGTTATTTTGCTTAGTAACAGACTGTGAAAGAAAGTATACGCTTGCAAGTTTGTATAAAGTGCTTTTATATGTGTGTTTCTAAAACTTTGGTTTTCCTTAGCACAGCACTTCTGCTCCGTTATGCCAGGCTGTCAAACTGCAGGGGACAGTTCTGATGGCTGTCAGTGCAGAGGCCTGGGAGAAAGGGGTTCATTCAGCAGAAGGCTCCAGAAGCCATTTTCACCCAAGAACAGAATGGGGAGTAAGGACTGGGAGGTCTCTGTCCCCCTCCCAGCATCGATTAACCTCGTCAGAATTGATCTCTCTTCTCAGTGTTATCAGCATTACTGTGACTACTCATCTTTCCCCTCTAGGACAATAGAAAATTAGCCTACTGACATTAAAACAGTAAATATAAGATGTGAGGATTATTGAAATTATTTGGAATGGTTAATATCTGATAATTAGAAAAGGAATATATTTTTTCATGTGATAACAGGGTCATGGAACTAAAGGTAACTCATATAAACATGGTAACGAACACACGTTTGGAGGCAAAGCACAGATTTTCTAGCATATCTTTTGTCCATAGTGCATATACTGTTTCTTTTATATCGGGTCTCAGTTTGAACAGAGGATACAATTTTTAGTAGGGGATAATTGAAGATGATGAATCACTTTCTGTTGTTAGGTGACAATCTCCCATTTTAAAAAAGAAAAAAAGGAACGAACTATATTAACCTTCCCTGATGTCACAGCAGCTCCCCATTTTCTCTATTTCCTGTCATAGCAAAGCTGCCTGAAAGCAGCTTTTGTTGTCACTCTTACTTCCCACTCTAAATCCACACCGAAGCTTCTCCTCCAAAGTTCCTCTGAGGACTGTCTTATCAAAGGTGCCAACGACCTTCCTGTGCAAATCCAGTGGTCACTTCTTTTTTTGTATCTTACTTGAGTTCTCAGTAGCATTTCACAGTCTTTCCTCTGATCTTCTTAAAGCACTTTCTTTTTGTGGCTGCTCCATCTCCACTTGCCACATATCTAGAGGTTATATTGTCGCAGGCCCATAGTCTTCATCATTTACGCGTTCTCTTTAGGGAACCTCACCCCGTCCCATGGTTTTCAATATCATCCTTGGGCCAGTGACTCTCAACCTTGTGTGTGTGCTCCACACCTCTCCCTGGAAGTCTGGACTCGTACATCTCTGAATAACTGGCGTCTCGACATCCCACATGGAAAAGAGTCCTTACAAATTACTGTGGCCAAAGCTGAACTGTTAAATTTCTCAACAAAACCTGTGTCTAGTCTTCCATACATCATCCATGCAGTTACTGAAGTTAAAAACCTAGGACTTACCCTGGGACCCTCTATCCCTCATACATCTCCTCTAATCCACCAGCATGTCCCATTGTATCTGTTACCAGAATGTGGCACATTTCAGTCCATTTTGTCTCCATTTCTAGAAACCGCCATCACTGCTTTTCTGCAGTAGCCTTCGAACTGGAGTGACTCTTGCTTCTTCTGAACTATTTTTATTCACAGGCAAAATCAGCTTTTTAAAACATAAATCATGTCTGTCTGATACTTAGAATCTTCTGTTCTTTTTGTAGTTTTTCTGAAAACAAATTGTATACGGTTGGGCATAATCTGGCATTTGTGTTATCTGTCCACTATATGTAGAATACTCTGTCAGCATATCATTCAGCCTTCATTTTACCAATCATGTCCTCAGAGAGTCCCCCCAAAATCCAGCTAATGGAAAGTTGCCTTCCGGGTATTCCTTCTATGTCACCTTACTTTCCTGCAAGGCACTGATCACTGTTGATATTTTCATCCTTTTTAATTTATTGTTTCATTCCCCTACCAAAATATGAGCTAGCAGGAATGTTGTCCTTATTGATTGTTGCCATAATCTCAGGGCTCAGCACAGTGCCTGAGACACAGTAAATCCGTGATAGGTATTTGTAAAGTGATTCTTTTTTAAGGAATATTATCTACAACTTTTATTTGACTCGATCATCACAACAGTCAAAACTGCTGGATTATGCTGTTTTGAGATTGTGGTTTTTTTTTCATGATGTGGAAGAGGCCTGCAAGGTTATAGAATCAAAATTGAAGTTGGAAATTATATTGAATGAAAAGATATTTTCATTTTGGAAAAATAATAGCAGGTCAAAAGGGCTTTAATGACCAGAACTACATCTTCAATTTCTCTGCACTCTGATTAGAGAAGCTATGAAATAGCAGAGAGAACATAACAATGTATGTGGATACCAGGCAGGATCATAGATGGATCCTGTCACTGCAGTCTGTTCTAGCTGGCAGGCTGACTTGGAGAGCGAGAGATGCCACTCAGGGATGCATTTAGGACTCTTCTTTACATTGAGAGATGCCGCCTTGTGGTGGTGATGCTATCAGATCAGGAGGTGGAGAAGAGGGCTCACATCCTAACTCTCTCTGCTCACAGTCAAGGTGATTCCAAATCTGAAAAGAAACTACCTGTTGTCAACTGATTAAGGGGGAAATGATGAATAAATAAAGTACAGGCAAACATGTATGCATGTGTACATGTATATACAGGGGTAGGAAAAAAGTCTGTGTTGATGTTTGGGACAGAGCAGTGAGTGAATAAAACCTGTGAAACCTCAAGAGTCAGAGAATGGCCTTAGCTGTCAGCAGTTAGTCGACTAATACTTGTCAGCCCCAAACACTAAAAACAGTGACAGCTTTTCACATAAGACTTATCTGCTAAGGAGCATGATGGTGTGTGTGGGTCAGGTGGGGGGGGGTTGGATAACAACAGTTTGCTATAATAGAAATTCATCTCATTGCAAGGACTACATTGCAGCAAAGGGAACCAGCCAACCCAGTAACAGGTACACAAGGTCCTTGCTGCCTTGCTTCACTGCTTTCTCTGATTGGCCTTCTTCAATTCCACCTTCCAGGTTAATAATAAAAGCTTCTAGTTCCCTAGCAAAACTCCAAGGTTAATGTATGAAGTTTGCAGTGAAAAACTTATCACACTACCTGGTTTAATTCCAAGAGTTCAGCATATGGCCTAGGACGTGCCTGGCACGCATTAGAGCCCACTATTCCAAAGATGCCCCTCCGTGGGGCTCATTAGAACTGAGAGAATGACTTAGAAACTAAAGGGAAGAAGGATTTTTTTATTTTGGTGGTGATATTGGTAACTGCACGATTGTGTCTGTCATTCTTTTAAAGGAGAGTGTGCCTGAGTACAAAAATGGGTAGGAAGAGGTAATAAATCAAAGATGATTCTAATCCCTTTTGAGCCGCAAGTGCTACTTTATTTAAAAAATGTTCAATGTATAATGTACAGTGTAGAATCTATAAGCATTCAATTGACACATATGTCCTTTAGTGAACAGAGATGATGACAGATCTCACTTAGAGCACTGCGTGTGGGGTAGTCAGTCTCCATGGCACTGTACTCCACAACTGCAGAGAAAAATAACCAGAAGCATGGCTCTTCAAAATTTAATGCAAAACAGTGAAGAACACTCTACTCAATGTGGAAGGAAAGCCTCTTCTTCATTTCCTTTAAACTGTTTATTTTATTTTTCCCTCAAGCTAAATCTACTAATTTTGGCCTGACTTAAGCCAGCCGAGTTCTGGCTTGGCACTGCCAACCTCTACCTGACCCTCCTTGAACATTACCATGCAAACTGTTGTAATAGGGAAGAAAAATGGCATTGATGAATGACATGTGAGAATGCACCACTGTGTTTGAACACAGTCAACACATATCATAGTCAACTCATAGTTAAAAGTGTTTGTTGGTGGCTTCCTAAGGGAGACCTGAATGAATACTAGAGTGGAATCTGGTGAAAGTTATAAGCATTTTCAGACAATAGCATCGAGTAAAGTCATTGTTCACCTCTGTGGATGAGGCTTAGGAGACTCCTCAAAAGAAATCTGAGCCCACCTGCTTCTTGGCTCTGCCCCTCCATTTCTTCCACACTTTGCTTTTCCTCTGGACCATTCTCATCTTTCAAGAAAACCACAGAGGGAAGAAAAAAAATGCATCAAGTCAATTTATGAAATTTCTCTTTATGGCTAATATGCAGCACTGAAATTAATTGTAACCAATGTAGCATGACTCCCCATAAAGCAAGGCAGAGAGATGAATCAAAGGCATGAAACAGAAAAAATTACCTACATAAATAGGTACATTTATACTCATCCCTTCTCACATGAATTGCTAGATGAAATGCTGAACTGCAGTAAACAAAATTCACTCAGCAGTCTAGGTAACATCTCTCTCCTGGCTCGGTACATTCCAAAATACAAAACAGATTTCAATTCCTGTCTGCTTTTTTCTCTCTTGTCTCAAGTAACATGCACTGTGTAAGGAAGCTTGGCTGATTACGTTTCTAAGCCATTCATTCATTTTGGTAGTGCATATCAAACAGAAAAACTATTTTCATTTAACTTGCACGTGACAGTCTAACACATCTATGCTACGAAATATTTTGTCCTGAACAGATTATGTTGTTTCAAGTTTATGCCATAGTATGCAACTCTGTGAAAAATACATAAATGGACAGGTATAATAGAGGCTGTATAATAGAGGCTGTATATTAGTAACTATTTGAAAACATTTCTTTTGTCTTAAAATGTGTACTGTATCTGTGGATTTGTATGTAGAAAAAAAACTTTTCAAAGCTAAGTAAAGGCATAATTCATTGCTAGAAGGGGTCTCTAAATTGCTTTTTGTTTGGAAAATAAAGTAAATAAAATGATAATTTATCTAAGGGCACAGGAACAAAATAGAAAACATGTAGTTAAGAACAAAAGACAGAGAAGCAGAAGCTACCAGACTATATTAATATGGGTTAAAGATAGCCACAAGTGCTTTGTATCTCAAAAAGTAGAGTCTGTCTCTCTTCTCTTTGAATTCTGATTGGTTCTGTAACTTGTTTAGACCAATGGAATATGGTAGAAGTAATATTTTTGGACTTCCAAGCTGCCCACAGAGGACTGGTGGCCTCTGTTTTCCTCCTCTGGGAAGCTAGGCACCATGTTGTAAAGAAGCTAGTCTACCAAGTGGAGAGAGAGACGGGCTCTGAGGGGCAGAAATGTGAGTGAAGGCTTCTGGAACCTTCCAGCCCAGCTGCCAGCCGAATGCAACTGAGTGGTAACTTCAGCCAATACCACAATGAGCAGAAGAATCATCTAGCTGAGCCTTGACCCACAAGCAGACCAAATAACTTGGTTTTGCTTGAGAGCTTTGACCCATCATCTCCTCGTACTGCCAGCTCTTAATCCAGAGGCAAGAGGACTCCTCCCCACAGGAGGCCTCTACTACTAGAGTTGGAGGAAGAACCTCATAAACAATGAGGAAACATATCACCTAACAGCTCTGAAAAATAACTGATGGAAGAGAGTTTCAGACAAGGAAACATTTGGATTTAACCTTAATGAAAGTAAAAGTTTATCATAGAATGATGAAAAAAGATACCCTGAAGTTGAAGAATGCAGACAGAAAATCTATAACATGGCAGAATCCTCTCCATTCAGTACTGTGTCATTTGTCACAGGGGGGACAGTATAAGAACCTGGGACAGCTCTGCATGCACCTAGATCCAGTGTTCTAAGTGGCATATTTACAAGCACCATGAGATTATCTGACATTTTCTCTATTCTGGTTCTTCATCTAGGTAACAGTGTTGACTATTTTCTCCCTAGAGCAAAAGCCATTTCTGATGTTCTTGCTCTTACCAAGGTCAAGTTGATGCAGGAGCATGTGCCAAAAACTTAGCCAATATCTGCCCCCTTCCTTCTAGCAAATGGTAGACTCAGAGTCAGGCAAGAGGAATCTGCCAGCTCTTCTGTCTGCTCCCAACAGACAGACCTTGTAACACATTTCACAATAGGCCTGAAATCTGCAGGTGATGGGCTGCCTTCAAAACTAGTCTGGTTACCAGCTCTCCCACAGAGTGGGAATAAAGAGCTTTTTTTATGAAGGGAGGAAGAATAAGAAGAGAAACAGCAATTAAATCACAGGAATGTGAGGAATTGGTTCCACCAGTTGTAAACACATAAAAAGGAAATTCATGGTTAGACCCCCAAATCCAACTTTCTCATAGTAACAACCAGTCTGGCAGTTTACCTAATCCACTGCTTCTGGGCTCTTATCCTTAGTCCCCACGTGTGCCAGCAGCCCACCCTCTAACACAGATATCTGAGTGGCATGCTTTTCTTTCCTGCTTTGAGTCTCGGCTGCACAGTTTTCTATTTGCACTATTCCTGCCCTTGGGAACCAAACTCAAGAAACACTTGACACGTTTATCACGGAGCAAATGCTTTCTAGAAGAATACCGGATTTGCCATTTGAGCAACGTGCCCTCAGACATAAAGGTTCAGGTATATTGCTTTCATCAGTTTGCAAGACAGTGCATCCTCAAATCCACCAGGGGGAACCAATGTAGAAGTCTTGCTTTCCAAGCCCAGCATATGCATTCTTGGGCAATTAGATTAGCATTCATTTCACTCGCTTTTAGAAGGACATTTTGGCTGGCTTCTAAATTTCCATCCATTTTAAATGCCTCAAATGGATGAGTTCTTAGTGAAACAGTGGGTGTCCACTTGTAGGAAAAAAAGTCACATTAGACAGTTACTGGTGTTTGATAAGGACAAGTTTTCCTTGTATCAGCCCTGTCTGTCTAGCTATCTTCACAGAAAGCACATAAACAGTAAAAAGTGAAGTACAGTGGGGCATGCAAATGTGTGCTTTTTAGAAGGGATTTAAAAAGGTTTCAATAAATATGAAGCAATATAGGGAAATGCCAGGCTATTTTGTTAGCTTAAAAATGTTAGAAGCTACATTTTCACAGTTAATATACCTTTAAGATCACATATTTACTTCAGATAATATATTTCCATAGCATTCATGTTGAGTGTGGCATAACACTTGACTTTCCCATGCTGAAAAGCACAGTAACTTGTGAGAATTTCACTGGTTGTATCTTTGGCATTGTCCAGTATTAGTGCTCTGCCCCCTCACTCTTTAAACCCGTATTTATTGAGCATATACTATCTGCAAGAATATTTCAGAAATTTTATAGAAATTAAACGAGACTCTTGATGCAAAGTATATTCAGATAAGTAGAAGGAAGATACCACTGGTTGGACTATGATAAGAATGTAGTTCATATTTAATTCTATGTGGGAGAGTTTTACAAGGGCAAAATATCAACATGATGATCACAGATTGTCTTGATATTTGTAGTTTCTTTTGTGAACTGTGCACGGATATATAAAGAGAAAGGATAAGTAAATCAGAATAAATCCATTCCTGTTACTGGGGAAACAATCTGGTGTATACTGCCTACTGGTATACTCTGGCCTTCTCTTATAAAGGTCTTCAGATTTCTTGGTACAGGAAGAGTATAGGCAATTCAAAATCAGAGGTTTGGTCCCAATTCTTTGGTCTCCTAGTAATATGTATAAATACATATTTATTTTCCACACTGTAGGCAGAGAATATTTCCATCCCATTGATTTTAGATTTGGCTAATGAAATGCTAGTGGGCATAATGTGAGCAAAGGGCTTGCTTGTGCTCCTGACATTTGCCATGACAAGAAGATGCCCCTGTAGATTCAGGAGGATGAGAGGGATGTGGAGTGGACTTGAACCCATGTCACAGTCTGGAGCAATGTGCAGACAACTCATAGCTTGAAGTAGAACCACCCTGCATCAGCCAAAACCACAGTCAACTTTCAGGCCTGCAAGCATAAGAATTTATATTTTTGTTGTAGGAAACTTCATTTTGGGGTGATTTGTTACCCAGCATTATTATGGCAATAGCTGATTAGTACATACGGTATGTTTATTTTTCTTAGCTCAGGAAGGCTTGAAGTTAGCTTTTTTTAAAAAGCACTCAACTTATTTATAAAGAACTCTGTCCTTAATATTAGATTTTCATCTTACACATTCCAGAATTCTCTAGAAGACACACATTTGAAGAATAAATTTAGCTTACCTAAGAGAGGAATGCTCTAAAAAGGTGTGCACTGCCATCAATGTAATGTTTATGTTTTAACTATAGATCTATGTGGGCAACAGGATGATACTAGTAAATACTGCCTATATTACACTCATTGTCTAAATGCTTTGCACAGACTCTCAAATTTAATTCTCACAAAAACACATAAGGTGGGTAAAACTAAGACACAGAGATATTAAGTCAGATTCCACAGCTAGCAAGTGACAGCGGTGATGGACAATGTTAACCCAGTCAGGTGATGCCAGCCCCCACAACTGCTTCCCAGGAAACATAATTAAATTATGGACCAGCAAAAATACAGAAACTGATAATCTCATATGATTCACTGAGTTAACATAGAACACGAAGAACATTGAGAATCAAACCCGTCTGGCACTTATAGTCAGGTGGGTGCGATGCTATAACTCCAAACTTTTGTTTTCTTAATACGAAAGATATTTGTATTTTGGAATAATTTTTAAACAACATAAAGTGCAAGAGCAGTACATGAAAATTTCTTTTTCCCTGAACCATTTGAGAGTAAATTGCAGACATAATCAACCGCTAATCATCATCATCAGCCCCGAATCCTTTAGTGTGTTAAGTGTATATTTTCTACAAACAAGGACATTCTCTTTTATAGTCACAATATGACCATCAAGATCAAGAGATTAATAGTGATGACAATCCTACTATCTAAGCCACAGATCACATTCACATTTTGCTGGTTTTCCAATAATATCTTTAACAGCAATCCAGGATCACGTACACCATTTAGTGTTGTGTCTCTTTAGTCTCCTTCAATCTGGAACAGAGATGTTCCTGACTCTGCCCAAGCTCTGTGCTGGGCATTTGCCCCATCCCCACCTGGCTCCCTTTAATGTGAACCACCTACCTTTCTCAGTCCTGTTTAATGGCTTCAGGAGGGAGAAAAGTTAGTTCTAAATCTTTAAAAATTTTCTTTTGGAGGGAGTCATTAACTGATAGATCTATTTTAATA